TCTGCCACCCATATTAGAATCAGCGTCTTCAGGACGCCAGTGTAGACTGAGGATGTGCAGCTGTCGGGGATCCTCCAGACCTTCAGTGGCAGTTTGGAACTGCTGAGACATCTGACCTTGTGGACTGAACAACTACTGGAGTCCCAGCTCTTTCAGTGTGAAACAGTCGTTGTTGGACAACCCAGACCACAGCCTGTAGGCCAGTTTAACACATCTTCTTTTAATATGTATGTATATGTGTATATATGGTTATTTGCATATACATATGTATGTGTGTGTACGTATATATTCTGGTAGTTCCATTCCTTTAGAGCAGTGGTTTTCAGCCTTCCTAATGCTATGACCCTTTAACACAGTTCCATATGTCGTGGTGACCTCCAATCATAAAATTATTTCATTGTAGGCCAGGGTGTGGTGGTGCACACCTTTAACTCCAGCACTCAGGAGGCAGAGGCAAAGGAGCTCTATGAATTTGAGGCCAGCCTGGTCTACAGAATGAGTTCCAAGGCAGCCAAAGTTACACAGAGAAGCCCTGTCTTAAAACACAAAACAAAAATTATTCCATTGCCACTTCATAACTGTAATTTTTCTGCTGTTATGAATTGTAATTTAAATATCTGATATGCAGAGTATCTGATATTTACCCCTAAAGGGGTCAAGAGCCACAGGTTGAGAACACTGCATTAGAGAACCCTGACTAATACAGTGTGAGTGTGTGTGGTGTGTGTGTGTGTGTGTGTGTGTGTGTACATACATGCATGCTGGTGCACATGGACGGCAGAGGATGACATCAGGTTTTGCTCCCTGCTCAGGTGTCATCCACCCTGTGTTTTGGGGGTGCTGACTAATTAGAGCTCACTTGGTTATCTAGGGAACTGTAGGGAGCCTCTGTCTCTGCCTCCCCAGTGCTGGGAGCACCGCGTGTAGAACGAACGCCACAGCTTTATACCTGTGTTCTGGGATCCAACTCAAGTCCTCATGCTTGCGTTGCAAGCCCTGTGCCGACTGGGCCACCTCCCAAGATCAGTAGTTATTTAAATGCCTACAAACAGATGTAAGGGCAAAAGCATGGAGTATGCCCCTCAGTCTCCAAGTTCTGCATTTCCTTGCAGCAGAAAGATAGTGCAATTCATGCAGGGCCTTCAAAGAGGTGCTTTCCAAGCTGACTGCCATCTTCTGTGTGGTCTCAGTGCATGCAGACCTTCCCCTAGCACCTTAGGAAACCTCGTAGAAATCCTCTTTCAGACTAGGATGCACCAGTGGGCCTGCTTGCTTGCACCAAAGTACCTGGCCGGCAGAGGGCGGAGCTTGCAAGTGACGTAGAGTCTGGCGAGTTCCTGGTTCGTTACAGCGTTGGCTCAGGAGCCTAACGGTGGTCCTGGGTGTCACACCTGTGCTGCGCTGTCAGCGGAAAGGTGTACTTCTACATCCTCAGAGGCTGTGGGCAGTGGCTTCATCCACCTGGGAAAGAAAGCCTTTGTGGGTTCTAGGGAAGGGAGGAGCCTGCTGGGAACGTTTCAACACTCCAGCTAGGGAATTCTCTGGCTTCCCTCCTCCCCTGGCTCCTGCGATCTGCAGACTCAAGAGGTAGCTCCTAAACCAGGTATGGTGGCTCGGGCCTGTAATCCCAGCGCTCTGAGTGGCTAAGGCAGGAGGATTGCCATGAGTTCAAAGCCAACCTAGACTTTCTGGCCAGCCCTAGATACAATACAAAACCTTGCCTCAACTCCACTTCCTCACCAGAAAAAAAAAAAAAAAAAAAAA